TCCTTCCCTTTCCTACTGGGTTCGAAGGAACCCAGCACGCCTAGGTTCGATTGAAACTAGGCCTTGGGGTTCCAAGAACCCAAGCACTGAGTACCTTCGAACCCAGCACACTTGAATTCTTTAGAACCTTCTTCATTCTTGCTTTCTCTTTTGTTTTGCTTCTTCTTTTCTGTCCCCTCCCTTCTCTTTCTCACCCTTTTTGTTTTTCCCTTTTCTGCTGAGAACCTAACCAAGAAACTCGATTTGAGTATTTTCCTTCCTTTTCTCGATATTTTTGAAAGAAATCCCATGATTTTTTCTCATTGGTTTTCATTTTCTTCTTCTTCTTCTTTTCTTCTGTTTTTTTGTTGGCTACAGTCATGCTTGGCTATCTTGGTATGGGATTTAGAGTTTTGTGTGGCTTTTTCTTGCTTGAATTTCAAGATCTAGCTACTGTTGGTGTTGATTGAAGGGATGTTGTGTTTTTTGCATTTTCCTTTTTTTTTTATAAATCTGGTATAAGTTTGAAATATGATTGATTTTTTTAATATTTATAGATCTGGTATAAGTTTGCAGTGTAATTGATTTTTTAAATCAAATCTATTAGCCATTATTATTGTGCGAGGAACCATATTTGGTTCCATTAGAGAGGAGGTTTGGGGAAGAAGGAGAGGTTTGGTGATTCGGGTTCCATTTTCCTTTTGGTGATCATGTGTTGATCAGGAGTTAAAATCACCACTAACGAGAAGAAAGGAAACAAAGAGGGAGGAGATCAGAAATTGAAGAAGTGGAGAAACGAAAAGGCAACAAGTGGAAAGAGAGGTAAGAAGTTGGCTTAGATTTTTTTTTGGTTCTTGGATTAAGCATATTTATAAAGTTAGAGATGATGATTGAAGATGTATGGAGATGGTGATCGGATTGGTAAGGGATGACTGGAGCAATGAGGGATGATCAGTGTTAAGTGGGTTGTAAGATGAAGAGGCATCTGAGGATAAAGAGAGACGAGAAGGGAGAAAAAGAGGGGCTAGAAGATGAAGATGAGGGTATCTAAGGAATTTTAAAATTTTTTAATATATATAAATGAATTAAAATGATGTGGACAATAAAATGTCATAGTGGATAAAGTTATTTTTAACATAATTAAAGATTTAAAATAAGAATTGATTTTGTGGCAACTTAATGTGCCATTTGGCACTTCCATCGACAGAAGGATCAAATTGGTCCTGAAAATTGAAGTTTAGGAATAGTTTTAGTACTTTTTGAAGTTTGAGGGTAGATTTGGTTAAAAAATGAAAGTTTAGGAACCAAACTGAGTATTTAACCTTTAAACTATTTTTGATATTTTCTCTGCTCTTCTCACTGTGCAGCACGGGGGAACTGTAAAATTAATGTGTCAGTAATTTCCGGAAGAAAAATTTGTGTAAATAAAAATATTAATTTTTTATTTAAAATATCAATTTTTTATTTTTTATTTAGAAATGTTAATTTTTAATAGTTTAATTAAAAATTCATTTATCACGTTAATGTTACCATCCAATTGTTTTTTAAACAAAAAAAA